AACAAAAAACCAGTTAAAAAATTGCTAAAGACCTTGCAACAAGTTTAGCTTAGACAACTCTACTAGAAGAAACCAAGAAAAGAACTGATAAAGAACTTTTAGAAAGAATACTTTGAAAAAAATCAAAAGAAAAATTCTTCAAAACAAAATCTAAAGCAATTAAAGGTTTAGTTTAAGAGGATATGATAGAAAAGATACAAGAGTCAAGTAAAGAAACCAAGATATATATTGAGCTTGCTTTAGACACAATATAGAATTGCTTTCATAAGAATATTTGGTGAACTCCTCTACAAATGGAAAATTTGCAAAGATATCTTAACCAAAGATAAAAAATGAAGAAGCAAGCTATTAACAGAAGAAGGAAGATTAAAACCAGAATCTAATAAATCAAGATCCAAAGAAAAGGGTTCGAAGCAAATTAATAATTTAGATAAAATAGATAGAAAACAAGAATATAAAAAAATCATTGGTTTAATAGCTTTAAAGATTTAATTCAAAATAGCTATAAGCTATTTTGGTATGATTTGTATAGCTAACCTGATATTAACCTTCTGATCTTGAAAAAATTTTCAAATCAATATAGCAGACTACTTCTGGGCACCCATGAGGTAGCCAAAAAATGTCAGGCCTAAATATTAAGCTTAACATTATGTAATATACTTATATAATAATTTTAATAAAGAATCACCAGCAAGGTTACCAAAATTATAAAAAAAAAAATAATAATAATAATATAGTAAACTAATTTTGATACTTTAATTATTATTAAAATTATAACAATCTGTTTTATAAGTTTAATTAGAATCAGAAAAGAAATTTACTAGTAAAAATTTATATAATTAAATTCTTTAATCTGATTGGTTAAATTAATTAACCAATTTGACCAAAGACTATTTGACTATTGACCAGCAAATTTTTGATTGACCAGCAATTTGTTCAACTCTGATTACAATACTTCGAGATCAATATAAAATCGACTAATTCCTTGGCTTAAAGCATTTTCTATTAGTTGATTTTAATTGGTATATAATAAAAATTTCAATGTTAACTTGTCGGTACAAGAATCTTATTCAAGATTCATACTATACACTTGTGTAAGGACATTAATTATCTAATTTAGAAAATTAATTATATTATCATGAAATGCGCGAAAAGTATAGTAGGTTGTTTAAAAAAAAAAAAAAGATGGTGTAAAATTATCAAAAATACAATTTTATTTCTTAACGTGTTCGAAATAAATATTTTAATAAATCTAGCACATTATCTATTTTTCTACATATATATCATATTATCTAACGTATCTTTTTTGTCATCATATATATCATCAAAAGACTCTTTCTTAACTTTGGTATCCAATACTTTATCCATTGAAATTTCAACATCGGGCACAATTGCTTTTAGACCCTCAACTAATAATCTTAGAATCCCAACCTTTGATTCGTAAGAAATATTAGTTAAAAAGTATTATAAAATGTGGTAATAAGAATCTAATATTGATAATTACCTCATAAACATAGCTACTGTTCGATTTTCTTTCTCTTGCACCTATCTTTTTTCCGGGAAATATCAAGCATCTTGTACGAATTTTTTCAACTTTCAGCAGTGTGATCATTGTGTTAAAGAAGTGATCCCGCAATTTGAGAGTTGATGGCAACTTTCTTAACTTTTCTTTAATTCCATTTGAAAATAAAAATGGTTTATTCAACAAAATTTTTTTTAAACGATCCAATGGTAATAATACGTACCATCATTTTTTATCTCTTCACTATCTGGTATACAACCCAAATATACACCTTCGTCATTTACCGAGAAGTTTATCGATGATACTATTATCACATCGGTTACTTCATTTTGACAAAATTGATTGATTAACGCGTCTGCTAAATATATTATCTTATTTTGAGGTGGTAACTCTTGTATTTTCACGAAGCTTAACTATTTTATCAATGAATGCCAATATTAAAAGTCAATATTAAAAGATTTGTGCATTAATTCATAAATTCATATTAGATACTTAACGTCCTTGGTATTATCTATTTTTATTTCAAGTTTTTTTCCTTCGTCGTCGACATTACTTGTATTTTCGTTCGTAATATTGAAATGATACGTTTGTTGCTCAACGATACACGTTTCCTCAACTCCAGAAACTACATAAAAACCTGCATTATTTATATCCGAATATCCGAGTATAACACTTTGTTTTAGCTTTAAGTCCATTGAAAAGGTATGTTGAAGCAACTATTATGATTTTTATTTTAAAGGCACAGCAGTTATAATATCGTCATTGGAGGTAACACCTGATTTTTGTATAACGATAGCGATAATCGATTTGTACAGATTTATAGCGATAGCGACTGAAATAACGAACTCGAAGTATTAATCATGTCATTAATACCAAGGATAAAAAAAAAAAACTCAAAAATCTTGTCTTTTAGATGAGTTGGTAAACCAGAACAGATTGTCCATGTACAATTTCGTCTTATTGTAAAATGTGAAAATGGAGAAAAGCAACTGTCTTTTACACTGATGTTAGATTTGGTGATGTCGGTTTTTTGTTTTTTTTTTAACGGTCTAATATATTTAACATATTTAAGTAGTTTATTATTCTTATAAACCACCAAGTTACGGGTACTTGGGGTTAGAATCTACCGTATTAGATGTGAAATCTTACTTCCTGACTTACTACAA